TTTTGGAAGACTTAAAGATTAAAGAGATCATCACAAGGACTTCATCAGAAGGAAAAGTAATTAAAGCTGCAATCCAAGAATCACCAAATCTCTAGACATTAATTTAGCCCCCCCCCCCCCAAATAATGACAGAAACTTGCTTGCTGGACTACACCCTTTGCTGGAATGATTTTTTGTTTTTCAAAGTTTTTGAATAAGGGTTATTGCAAAAGAGAAAGTGCGCACATACTTTTGGGAACTTTTGGAAGACTTACAGATTAAAGAGATCATCACAAGGACTTCATCAAAAGGAAAAGTAATTAAAGCTGCAATCCAAGAATCCCCAAATCTCTAGACATTAATTTAGGTGCCCCCCCAAATAATGTCAGGCAACCACAGGCATTGGTACATGTTGATATCATATTAAAAAGAAACACAATCGTTTCAGTAGACACAACTTCTTAGCAGATGGATGCCTTGGAAGACTTGAGGCCAGAGGGGGTGAACGAAAGCTAGCCGGGCCTCCTCGTCCAAACAAGTCGGGGGCGGGCTGCACAGTCACTCTCATTGGGTAACTGCCGGTCCACTTGCAAGTCCCGTGGGAAACTCTAGAGAAGCAGTGTTAGTATGTGCTTTGTGGTGCGTCGAGTCTCATTCAGTAAGCAACTGCCACCTGACAGGAGCAGGTTCTGTTTGGCGCCCCCTTTCCATCACTTCTTTGGATTGGGTTTTCCAGCGGTTGCTGTGCCGCGGTCGTTTCCTCGGCGCCGGGTCGTCTGCTGCTGCTGCTGCTGGCGCTGGGTGGGCTGCTGCTACTGCTGCGGCGGTGGGCGCTCTGCTGCTGCTGCTGCGGCGCTGGTTGGTATGCTGCTGCTGCTGCTGGCGCTGGGTGGTCTGCTGCTGCTGCTGCTGCTGCTCCTTTGTGGTTTGCTGCAGCTGCTTGGTGGCAGACTGCAGATGCTTGGTGCGCTGCCGCTGCTTGGTGGTCCCGCTCACCGCGCGCAGGGGGGCGTCGAACCCCCGGGGGGGGGGGTCCATAAGATTGATTTAATCAATTATTTGAGGGACTTGATCAAAAGGAAAAGTAATTAAAGCTGCAATCCAAGAATCACCAAATCTCTAGACATTAATTTAGCACCCCCACAAAATAATGACAGAAACTTGCTTGCTGGACTACACCCTTTGCTGGAATGATTTTTTGTTTTTCAATGTTTTTGAATAAGGGTTATTGCAAAAGAGAAAGTGCGCACATACTTTTGGGAACTTTTGGAAGACTTACAGATTAAAGAGATCATCACAAGGACTTCATCAGAAGGAAAAGTAATTAAAGCTGCAATCCAAGAATCCCCAAATCTCTAGACATTAATTTAGGGCCCCCCCCAAATAATGACAGAAACTTGCTTGCTGGACTACCCCCTTTGCTGGAATGATTTTTTGTTTTTCAATGTTTTTGAATAAGGGTTTTTGTAAAGAAAGTGCGCGCATACTTTTGGTAACTTTTGGAAGACTTAAAGATTAAAGAGATCATCACAAGGACTTCATCCAAAAGGAATTAAAACTGCAATCCAAGAATCCCAAAATCTCTAGACATTAATTTAGGTGCCCCCCCAAAATAATGTCAGGCAACCACAGGCATTGGTACATGTTGATATCATATTAAAAAGAAACACAATCATTTCAGTAGACACAACTTCTTAGCAGATGGATGCCTTTGAAGAAAAGGAAGAGGCACCAGAGGTTGTAGAAGCAAAGAAGAAGGCAGAGGAAATTTTGAGGCAAGCACAGTTGAAGGCTGAGGAGATTTTGAAGGAAGCAAAGGCTACTTCACAGGAACAGCCATTAGTAAAAAGAAAGCTTTCAGACCAGTTCAAGACACCAGACAGACCCACAGGATCCTTTAAGAGCCCAACTTCCAGCAAAGAGGATCTTGTAGAGAGCCAGCCTTCACCCACTTCCAGCTCACCTTTGTCTCAGTATGGGTTGGAGAAATTTTTTGGTAGCCCAAAGGAGCAGGCAGAAGCAAGACCTGTTTTAGAGAAGAGGGTTTTAGGGAAAGAAAGAAAGAAAGAGGTCTTTGAGAGAGGTTGAATTAGCTGAGTTATGGAGGAGTTGGAGGAAGAGAAGAGAATTGTTTTGAGTCCTGAGGAAAGGGGAAAACTTGGAGGCAGACCCATGGTTGAAGACAAAAGCAATGCAGGGTTGAAGAGCAACAGGAAGAGAGCAGGGCAGCCTTCAAGGAGAAAGGAGTTTTCTGTTGTAGAGAAGGTCAAGGTAGCAGAGGATTTGGAGGCAACGCAACAAGGATCTTCCAGCAGCAAGGAACTTTTCAAGAAAGGCAGGACCAGGTATGGCTTAGACACCAGGACCTTGAAGGACATCATGTCCAAGAAAAAGGTGTTTGAGAAACAGAAGGGGCAGTTGAAGATGAAGAGAGGCAGGGTTGTAGGCTCAAGATTTGTCAGGGCAAAGGGTGCAGGCAGAAAGTTGGAATTTGAGAAGGAGATTACAAAGGTCAAGGACATGGTTTTGAAGGAGAGGTCCAATGGAGTTGTACTTGCAAAGGGTGATCTTCTAGATGAATTTCTAGCGCAGTTGGTGTCGTCAGCCCAAGAATTCTTGAAGAATGCAGAGCTTTCCCAGAGTGAGATCCAGAAGAAGACCTGGGAACTTGAAGCAAAGCAGTACTTTGCCAGAAGGGACAAACTTCTAGGAAGCAAGCAGTACAGACAGTCTTTCACCACTAGGTCACTAGGCTTTTGGAGTACTGTGGTTCAAAGGAAGTCAAGAAGGAGTTGACAAGCCCTTTGAGTGCTTTTGAAGAGAAAACGCGTTGCCAACTCTCTTGGCAAGCCATAGACAGACAGCTGTGGCTTGCAGGTGCTGCTCCTGAGGAAGATGTCTTGAAGTCCAATGTCTTTGCAGATCCCAAGTCTGTCTTGAAGCCTGGAGTCAGGGAACTTCTAACCATTGGCTTTTCAGACCAGGTCCCACTTTTGGCCAAGGCTGAGAGTTCAAAAATGGTGGTTTCTAGTGAAGAGCTTTCAGGCATCACAACTCAAGACAGGAAACAGTTTCAGCTTTTCAGGAAAGATTTGAAAGAAGCTGTTGATTTCTTCAACCCAGAAAAGGATTCAAGCCAAGAGGTGACCTTAGAAGGCAAAACCAAGGATGCAGGTGCGAGGAGGATTGCAGGCAGCTTGACAGCCAAGGCACTTGCAGAGAACTCCAAGTTCAGAATCACTTATGAAGCACGCCAAAGGATTGTAGGCTTGCCTGTTGGGAGTGATGGAGCTACAGGTGAGGTTTCAGCAGGTCTGCTTGTGTTTCCTGGGGTTCATGCCAGGCTGTCAAATCTTGACAGCAAAGGCAGGTGGCTTAAAAGAGAGGAGTTTGAGGTTGCAGGGCAAAGGCTTGTTCATGAGAAAGGGGAGCCTTCCAGAGCTTTGAAGTGGGCTGTTGCTTTGAGGAATGAAGCTCCTGAACTCTTTGAAGGCAAACTTGACATTATGAGTCAGCCCAGCTGCAACCTTGACAGTGTTCTCTTGAAGTGGGCCATTGAAGAACAAATTGAACAAGAGCCAGTTCCAGTTTGGGTCAGAGACTCCTTTGCAGCCATCTTTACAGGTGAGATTAGAGAAACCCAATCCATTGGAAACCAAGCTTCTGCAATTCTTTTAGGACAAACAACACAAAGATTGCAGTTGACTGACACAGATTTTGCCAAAGCCTTCAAGGCTGATTTCAGGAAGGCTCTTGCAGAGAAGAGGAGTTCTCACAGACTTGAAGGCAAGGCGGGCTCTTTCAAGATCAGCTACAGGACAGTGATTGAAGCCACCCTTCAAGCCCAGGAGGCTGCAGTCAAGAGAAACTTGGATACCTCATGGGTGATTAGAGGAGCCTTCAGGAATGGACTTGTCATTTATTGACCTGATTTGAAGAGTGGGGCTTTGCAGCCACTTGAAGCAAAGGATTGTGGTCTTGAAGAGCTGGACCTTGGGAGCCACAGAATTCCAAGTAAGTGGATGTTTCCTAGGAAGAGCTGGTTGAAGGAAGGCATTCCAGTGGAGCCAGAGTTCAGTTTGAGCCAGGCAGCCACCACAATTCAGCAGGTTTTAGATTGGGCTGCTTACACAAACCCTGCCCTTGAAGATGAGGCAGACAATCCTGTGGACATGGATGGTGCGATTGAAGAGTCTTTGGGGCTTGGTTTGAAGAATTCCTTGTTTTTGACACTTCATCCAAAGGTCAGGAAGGCAGCCTTTCTAGGTCAAAAGAATGCACAGTTTCAAGAAGTACTTCAGAAGTCCAAAGAAAAAGCTTCAAGACTTCAAGCAAGGTCTAGTTTCAGATCTGGTTTGTTGAAGAAGGTCAGGGAGAAGCTTAAAGGAATGAGCAAAAAGGAGGCAATTGAACAGGTGGTTGCCAAGAGCAATGTAAGTAAGAAGAAAGTTTCAGCAATCTTCAAGCCATCTGCCAAAACCAAACCATGCTTCTTGAAGAAAGTCGCGAAGAAACACTTGAAGAAAAGCCTCAAAAAAGCTGATGTGTTGAAAGAGGCAGACAAACTCCTTCCAGCAGCATTGAAGGATGCAAAGGACAAGGAAAAGAAGAAAGCAATGGTTGAAGCTGAAGGGGAGATGGTTCTTTGTAGATTTGTTGAAGAAATTGAAGGGAAAGGGAAGTATGGGAAAGAAGGGATGGTTAGTGCGGCTTCCTTGGGGATGGATGGGGATTTGCAGTGCGAAGTCATTTCAGACAAGCACCAAAAGTGGAGTTGCAAAGTTTCAAGCATTATCAAAAAGGTTCCAGACTGGCTTCCAGTCAAGGAGTGGATACCTTTCACAAAGTTTTCTAGAAAGAAGAAAGGTGAATCCCTTTTCATGATGGGCTTGAAGCCAGAACCTTTTGCAGACAATGGAGATGATTTGATAGACCTTCCAGACAAAGATGAAAACTTTGAGTCTCAGCATATGCTACTTGGCTTTGAGCTTTTGAGTTGGCAGTTCCAGGACTACATGAAAGAGGTGGCCTTCATAGATCCCTTTCTGACCACCATGTATTTGAGAGAGGAGGATGTTCCACAAAGAGATTTCTTGAAGAAAAGGATTGAAAGCTTTGGGGAATCAGATTCGCGTTTGCTTCTTTGTCCAATTTGGAGCAATGAGACAGTGTTCCATTGGACTCTACTTACAGCTGAGAGGCTTGAACAGAATCAGAAGTGGACTTTCAGGTACAGGGATACCCTTGCAGCCCTTCCAGAAGATTGCAGGAAGAAGGCTTCCATTATAGCCAGCCTCCTGCCGAAGGAAGAGGTTTCCTTGAAAGTTTGCAACTCCTTCCAGCAAGTTGGAAGCACATGTGGGCTTTGGACTCTTGCTTACATGCTGTCAGAGGTTTGCAGCTTGTTTGAAGGCTTGGCTTCCAGAGGGCACCCAGAGATTGGCTCATTGAAGGCCAAATTTTCAGCTTGGTGGCATCAGCTTTCAGCAGTGCAGAAAAAACTTCAAGAAATCAAGGAAACAGTTGAAGAGAAGTCCAAAAAGATTGCAGACCAGCAAGAGAAAGCCAAGACCAAGGCATTGGAGCAACTCTCCAAATTGAAGAGTCATACCAGTGCTGCAGCCCTTAAAGCTCAAGAGATGCTTGAAACCAATAGCAAGCTGCAGCATTTGAGTGAGGATTCAAGGTACAAGATTGAAGGAACAATTTCAAGGCCAAGGGGGAACCTTTGTTCCAAGTGCAGGTGGAACAGTGGGTGTTTACAGTGCCACCCAGGCAAAGCTTTGAAGTACTATTGGAGCAAAGAAGCACATGAAAAGAGCCTTGTTCCAGGTCCAGATCTTCCAGAGAAGTGGGACATCCTTTCAGGAGACAGGGGGTGAAAACAAACACCAGCAAAACACCAGCAAGCAGCAGCAAAACAAACACCAACAACACAAATGCCAATGGACATCTGCATCCAAAGACCTTCAAAATCCACAAACTTTCACTGGAAACCTCCAATTCCTAAAGGAAATCTGCATCCAAAGACCTTCAAAATCCACAAAATCTCAATGGAAATCTCTAATTCCTAAAGGAAATCTGCGTCCAAAGACCTTCAAAATCCACAAAATCTCAATGGAAATCTCCAATTCCTAAAGGAAATCTGCATCCAAAGACCTTCAAAATCAACAAAATCTCAATGGAAATCTCCAATTCCTAAAGGAAACCTGCATCCAAAGACCTTCAAAATCCACAAAATCTCAATGGAAATCTCCAATTCCTAAAGGAAATATCTGCATCCAAAGACCTTCAAAATCCACAAAATCTCAATGGAAATCTCCAATTCCTAAAGGAAATCTGCGTCCAAAGACCTTCAAAATCCACAAAATCTCAATGGAAATCTCCAATTCCTAAAGGAAATCTGCATCCAAAGACCTTCAAAATCCACAAAATCTCAATGGAAAATCCCTTCAAAATCCACAAAATCTCAATGGAATTCTGCAATTCCTAAAGGAAATCTGCATCCAAAGACCTTCAAAATCCACAAAATCTCAATGGAAATCTCCAATTCCCCTAAAGGAAATCTGCATCCACAGACCTTCAAAATCCACAAAATCTCAATGGAAATCTCCAATTCCAGAGGAAATCTGCATCCAAAGACCTTCAAAATCCCAAAAAATCTTTTGCTGCCACTGGAAATCTGCATCCAAAGATATAAAAAATCAGTAAGCCAGAGAATAAAAATAACAATATATAACAATGAAAAACTCACCAAAAAAACTATCCCTCCAAAAAAAAAGACATTATTCTGGGGGCCTTTATTAATCAGCGCAGGAAAAAAGTCATTATTGTGGGGATCTTTATTAATCAAAGGTCAACATTAGCCAAGCCCTAAGAAATGGTTGCGTGGAATTGCAATGAGAACGAAATAGCCCAACGCACTTCAGTATATATTTTTTGCGCCTTGCGTGCAAGGGGCTAAACTGCCACGTGGTGACTTTGTCGGCGGCGCCCTTCAAGGGTGACTGTTTCGGAAGCATGACTGGCAGGAAAGGGCCTTGATTGATGCTTAGCGCGCACAAACGGAAGGGCGCAAGGCACTGACATGGCGCGAACAAAAAACCGAGAGTTACAGCCAAGTCCAAAATTGGTCGAAAAAAACCTTGAAACTGATGAGTTTCTGGTGAAATCAGATGAGCACAGACAGGCTATCTTTGATCTCCAAAATTAAAACTCGTCGGCTAAGACACCTTACACCCCCGTGTTCTTTCGTGACTTGGTTCCTGCTGTCTCTCCGCCTTTGGTTCTGCCAAGTCGGCCAGACTTGACTGGGCTGTCCGAGAACATGTACTGGAAAGCCAGCAAGAGCGACAGGCCCAAAAACAGGATGATGAATCTCAGTGGATCGTATCACAAGGACACTCTCAACAACACTTAAACTCAGTAGATCAGGGCGCAAAAGATCTATCGCCCCCACACTGCAAAATGATCACTCGCTTCCATGCCTAAGCCAACAAACAACTGGCCTTATCGTTTTTGACTCCTTATCGGTTTGCCAAGGATCTGCTACCTAGTGAAAAAAAAGGGCAACCCAAAGACCACTTCTTGAGTAGAGGGTTTGTTA